GTTGGATCACTGAAAAGAACTGTTTGCAATCTCACTGTTTGAATGTCCACTTTACGTGCTTTAATTTTGTAATTTGAACAACTATTTCTAAGATGATAATATGTAATCTATTAACTAGTGATTTCTTACTGTATTTTTTTTCTTGAAATTTTGTATTACTTGTACCCTTTTACTGTTTTGGTTTTTTTCTCTTTAAATAAAAATAAAGAAATAAAATATACATAAGTGAGGCTGGGGATTTAGCTGCACAGCAAAAGTGCCTGCCTGGCAAGCACAAGGTCATGAATTTGATTCCTGGTACAAAAAAAAAAAAAAGCATTAAAGTCAATTTATGAATATTTTAAAATTACTTTTGATATTGCATCTCTGTTCTAAATATGCACACTTATAATCCCAGAACTCAGGAGACTGAGGGTGAGGCTATAGTGCTGAATGCAAGCCTGCCTAAACTCTATAGTGGGATTCTATCTCAAAAACAACCACAAATAATGCTTCATTACCTAAGCATATGCATATAGTTTTCTAAATTTTCTGCAAGAGTTTAAAAATATGCTAGGTAAATCCTCTATTCCTGAGTTATACTCTGATGTTTAATCATACCATTGAGAAATTATGTTTGTCTGGAATAATTAAAAGTTTTAATTTAAATTTTCCATTGAAATCTGTTTTTAGAACTTTCCCCTTCTGTAGTTATTTTGAGTCACTTAAATGACAATAAGAGTACAGCAAGAAGATAAAATGTTTATCAATATTTATAAAACGTTTATCACATCTGGGGAACAGCTGAGTACTAACGGGGGGAAATGTGTAATTCAACCCCTCCATTTTAATGATGAAGAAATAGAAGATTACAAGAGAAAATCACTTGACCAAGGGAAGCACTGGGTGCCAAATGACGATCCCATAACCATGAGCATCGTATTCTTTGCATCCTTTTGCATAACTATGTTTCACTATTTGAGTTTCACAGTAACTGTGAGCAGGGAAAACACCAGTTTCTATTAAAGGCAGAGGAAATGTTGCACTGAGATACATGGAATTCACGGAATAAAGGTTCATTAGACTTTTATGCAGATATTCTGATGATTTCAGATAAACTAGTATTTCTAATTCCATATAAACTGGTATTCTTAATTACTGGACTTTGGATTTAGCTAGATCTGGATTTGCTTCATAAAAGTTGCTTTCTCAATTTCTTAAAATTATTAGTTCTTGCTACTGATCTATTAAATTGGCAAATATTTATGAAGTGCTGGTAACTGCCACAGATAGGTACTGAAGACCCAGAAACTGATAAAAATATAAATCTACATCAGTCGGCATGCTCCCCCTGGAGGTGCTGCTTTGGTAAAGCAAACTAATGACTTTCCCCCGCTTTGTCCTGTGACTGTCAGCAGGTGTGATGTTGGCCCTTCTCACTTTCCATGTGGCCTGAGTGATGGATGCATCACTAGCAGGGGAATCCAGCATCCTAGCCACTTCCTTCTCCTTTAAAACTAACCAGGGACTTCCCATGGACTTACAAAAAATATCAGATATCCTCCCCTCTTCCAGCTGACTCTAAATACACAGATCCTCGGTCTCCACTCTGCTTTACAACTACAAAATGTGCTTCCTTGGCTCTCCACCTGGCATATTTTATTTCTTTCCACAAAGCTAGGCTGTCAGCTATTCCTCTAGGTACCTGAGAATTTCCTTGTTCCCTGTGCACTCCTTAAGGCCTGAGCTAGATCAGACCTTCCTAGAAGACAAATCTGCCAGATACAAATGATGCAGCTCCATTCTCTATTTCTATTGGTTGAAGAGGAAGGAAGCTAAAGGAACGGGGATTTCCAGGAACGCTTTTGTTGCTTAAAATGCGTCAGTGCAAAAAGCTGGAATTATTTTCCCAGGAAGGAACTAGTTTGAAATGAGCCTGGTGAGGCACATTCTGGGTTTGAGGGCTGTGGCTGCTGCCTGTGAAAAGGGAAGAGCCGTTTCTTTTGAAGGGACTCGTTTTTACTTCTTCCTGAAATGATATTTTCTAGTACAGTTATGAGACTATTAATTCTCGGAAAATCCACCCCTCTACTGTCTTGCTTCTTAGCCTTGCAAATAACCTGGGATTGCTAACATGATTTCCTGGTTGACTTCCCATCCAGTGGCTTTACTCTTTATATCTATTTTCATTCCTTGAAAAAGAATTTTTTGCTTTATTAGACAGGACTCCTCTCTGCCTGCATTTTTAATCTTTTGTGACCCAAACAGTATAATTTCATCAGCTCTTTTTTCCTGCCTTTTAATGAGAATTGCTATCCTACATACACAGAAAACTGCAATTTTAATGTTCTTACAGGTTTGTAAAACAAACAATTTTTCTAATTTTTGAAAACACATTGCGTCACCAATTTGTGCTTATGTTTTACTTTATAGACATCAATTCACGGCTCATTGCACTGAATTAAGGCAAGTGTATGCTGGCCCTGAACTCCCAGAAGATGGGATCTGCAAATCCCATTCATGCTTGCGGAGCCACCACCTGAAGCAGCCTCTGCACAGTTGCTTTAAATATATTTTAAAATAACTTTATATTCCATGTCAGGACATAATTGTCACATTCTTATTATTACTTCCCCAAATTATGTAAAATATTACTTGCAGAGTTGTTATAATGATTAAATGAGATAATTAGGAGATACTTAAGAGGTCCCACAACTGTCGATTTTATTTTTCAGCACTGACCTTGCACTTCCTTCTGGTCACCAGTAGGTGGAGAAATACTCCGCAATCAACTTTTCTCTCCATCTTCTCACCACAGTTACATTTTCTACCAGCAGTGAAATCCTAGCATCATATGAACTTCCTTTCCATTTAATCCTGGCTAGGGGTTTTCAAACTGTGCCTGAAAAGGGACATGAGACCAGTGTCAAGCACTCTACACCCATGCAAATCATGCTTAAAGATGAAAAGGGGGATTTTTTGGCAATCCAGGTATTTCTTTCCCCAGACCCAGGTATTAGATCTTCCTTTTATCACATAACTTGTAGTCCTCTGCATTGCCTTCTCACAGGGTCTTGAAACCAGACTAACACTAGGGTTAGTACAGTAGTGCTGTATTTTGTTCTGCAGACAAGCAAGTGGCTTCACCCATTCATTGTACAGAAAGGAAACTGACAAGTAGTGGACATTGTCAATGAAGTGGTTTTGCCCAGAAAATTGACCAGCTTTGTCCTGAAGCATAGAGACCAGGATAAAGAAGTAACTGGAGGTTTAAATCTGTGGATACTAGTACCTCAGGATACAAGATAGTTCTAAGAAATAACTATCTTTAGAAAGATAGTTCTAAAAGGCTCCACTTTGCTTCTCCTACTCACCGTGATGGTACTTTGCAGGAATTGAGAAGGTTGCAGCACGCTCAGTGATGCCAGCCCCCTATTCTCACCATCACCCATTAGGGCTTGCTACACCTCCTGCATCAAATGACACCTGTGCTAGCCAGCTTTTCAGCTCTGTAGAGAAATGCTTGATGCAGGCTATTTGTAGATAAAAGGGACAATTTCACTCCCAGCTTTTGCAGACTCAGGGTCACGGTGCTGACCTTCACTCAGTTCTGGTCAAGGCCCCACGGCAGAGGGTGGGCAGTCCATGGCAACAATAGAAACATGTTGGGGCAAGTGGTCACTTCTCGAGCCAGGAAGAAGAGAGGGGAAGCCTTGCTCCTTCTATAACGTGCTCTCAGGAGAACTCCAGGCCTCCTACAAAAACTACCAAGGAAAGGACTTCCCTATACCCAATGACCTGAAACCCCCCCACGAGGCCTCACGTTTGGAAGGTTTCACAGTGCCTTCCCATACTGCCACCCTTGGGACAAGCTAACAATCCCATCGGGCAATCAGGGGACACCCAGACCAAGGGCAGTCAGCACAGCTGCTTGATGTTAGCCCATTTCAGTCTGTCGTCTTCCTAAAGAAGGGACTGCTCTGCTCAGACTCCAAGGCCTTCCATGCGATGAACGCTCTCTGCACTTTTCACACCCAGTACCACACTGCGATCTGGATATTCACACCAGGCTTCTTAAATTAATCCACCTTTTCAAATCTCTATCCAGTATTGCTCTTGCCAATAAAGCTCCTGGTTCCTTCTTTTCCTCTGCGGTTTATCTTCTCTACTTCAAGGCTTACTTTTGCCAGTGAACTATGTTTTCAAGTTTTCTCTAACAACTCCCCTCCTATATGAACATACCCCATCTTTGGTATTCTTGAGTTCTGTTAATTTAAAATTATACCATTTTATTTTCATTCTAACTCATAAATGTCTATATTTATACTTTACTCATTAATTCAGCAACCATTGACAGCTTTTTTGGACCGTGCAATGTTCTGGGAGGTGGAAAGAGGATGAGAGAATAGTACACAAAGAAGATGGCATCTCTGACTTACAGGGCTTCATATTCTGTGTATGTTTCTTTCCTTCTTGGTAGATATTGATCTGCATGAAGTCTTCATCCTGTGTTCTTAGCCCCTACCACACTCTCTTGGAAATAGTTGGTGTTCAGGAAGTATTAGCTTTTTGAATTTGATCAGGTACCTTCCATGCTTCCCTGGCCTGCATAACTCCTACCACACTGCCTGGCACTTAAAAATGATCGGTTAACTCTGCTGTTTAATTGGACCATTGTATGAAATGAGAATGAGGACTAACATGAGGGTAAAGCTCCCTTTCTGAGTGAATGTGATGCTTCGAGGTCGTCTCTGTCATGTCATTCTTCCTCCTGCACCTCTTTGCATTTGCTTCCTAAAAGCAGTGACGCCATCTATCACCTTACTGTAAGGTGACAAGGGGGACAAAACCAGTCCTAATGCGCAAGGAGGAACAGGTCAGTGACCAAGAATCGTGACAGAAAGTGGAACTACGTACCAGAAAAGTTGGCTCAGTTTAACCATGAATCACGGAGCTCCGCCCTTCACTCCTTCTCCTCCTCCTTCGGTGCGACCACAAACATCAGCCATCACTGTGGGTGCTGGTGTCTCCAATATTTGTCTGTCCTTTCCCCTTTTGTAATTTCCAAAGCATTTGATGGTGCACCCTTCTGTCCTTTTTATTTCTCTTTTCCCTAACAATGAATTCAGCCAGTGAGAGGCTCCTGGTGTCAGCATGACAGCGTGACTTTGGTCTTCATTGGGAGCCTCCTCTGTACATCCCATAGCACCGCTAAAATGCTCAACAATTCCTAACTATTCAGGTATGTTATACTATCACTGCTGATTAACTTTCTCTTTACTATTAATGAATTTTGGATCGTGTGTGTGTATGTGTGTGTGTGCTGGGCCTAGGGCCTCACGCATGCTAGAAAAATGCTCTACCACAGAATTAGATCCCTTTCACTTTTTAGTTTTTTAAATTTTGGCTGGAGATCTTACTCTGTTGCCCAGGCTGGCCTTCAGTCCGAGATCCTTCTACCATAGTCCACTGAGTACACGGGAGTACAGGCATAATCCACCATGTCAGGCTGAATTATGCTTTTAAAATATTTTTCTATTTCAAGATCATTAAGATATTTGTCAATATTATCTTCTAAAAGTTTTGTTGAACTGCTTTTTATGTACAGACAAATGCTCTGCTGGGACTGATTTTTATGTATGATGTGAAGTAAAAGTCAACCTTAATTTCTTCCCAGGAAGGATATCTAGCTGATCCAGCAGCATCTAGAGATAACCCTGTTGGAGGGCCATGTGGACAACTCTCCTGGGAAGAAGAGCATTATCTCCATTCAGCTAAACCTGGCACTGTTTCCTTGATTCATATGTACAGAGCTGGCTAGGGTTTTCCTTACCTTTCAGTTGGCTTTAAGCAATGTAAATCAGTCTGGCCAGGTGACATGTGTAGTCTCTGAAGCATGGTGACAGTCAGTGTTTCCTTGTCCCCAAGGCTCCCAAAAAACATGTGTGAGTAGGGTGGGAGAGACAGCCAGGATCCACACTGTCGGAGGGGGATCAAGTCTCAAGATAAGAGGCTGTGACTTCCCAGGGCACAAAAGATTACACATCAGAGCTGAAGCACTGACCCTGAAACATTAGGTACTGCCTCAGACTGTGTTATGGAGATTATTCCTTCTATATATCCTTCTCTTTGTGTGTCCCAGAGGTGATTTCAGGCCAGCTACCTAGCCCAGCTTACTCATGTACTTTCCCCCACTCTACAGTTGCTCATTCCTGAGTCACTCTTCTCATCAAGAATTAATAAAACCTGGGTTTGACCTTGGGTCAAGGTCTTTGTCTCAGTCAGCCATCACACTAGGGCCCCCCTGCCTCCCCACAATTATAAAGACATTTTAGTGTCTTTATTCTCACTGTGGGTTGCCCTGGAAGTGGTAGATTGGAATTAACTCACCTGGATTCCACTAACTTTCCCATGAGTTTACAAATATAAACTTCCCAGACCACAACAAAGTCCAGAAAGGGCTCTCTATAAAACCCATCCTTTCCTGGTCGCTCAATTGAGAATAATTAGAGAACAGGAGAGAGTAAAAGCCTGCAGTTAGCAGCCCTGTAGCCTTTCACTTGTGCTTTTGGTGTTACCGGTGTCTTCCCACGTAGGCATGAAAACTTGACCTTACGTCTGTAATCCTTACGCCACATTTTGCTTTACTGTGCAAATACTGCTTTCTCACAAACCACTTCATCATGGTGCAGTTATTCCACTAACGGAAGTTTGTTTCACTTTTTAAAAATTGACACGTAGCTCAGTTTTTCTGTTCTTCCCAACTTATTTCAAAGATTTTACAAAAGACCTTCCTTGAGCAACTATTTTCAAGATGATAATATGTAATCTACTAACAGGTGATTTCTTACTGTTATGTTTTTTTTTGTAGTTCTGTATTACGTGTACCCTTACACCGCTTTGTTTTGTTTTGTGTTTATCTCTTTTTCCTCTTAAATAAAAAAAAAAAAAAGGCCTTCTGGTCAGAGGTATCTGCAAGAGACAAACGATGCTGCCTCACTCCTCATCCTCATCGGTTACAGGAGGGAAAAAATTTCTGAGAAGGGATGGGGATTTCCAGTTAATCCTTTTCCCTTTTTTTCTAAAAAATCTCTCACAAAATGAAAGAATCAGTACTTGGGCTCAAGGTTTAATTTCTTTCCTACTAAAAGGAATGTAAGTTCTTCTCTTGCATGCCAAATGCCAGCTTCTAAAGCGCAGTTGCTGACCCAGAAGAAGCTTGGTGCTGTGGTCATGTTTTCTACCAGCACACGCTCTCTGGCTCCAACCCTTCCTAACCAACCACGGGCTGTTAAGCCACTAGTTGATCCTTCCTGGCAATGAATTCATTTTGAATAATCTCTCTCTCTCTCTTTCTCTCTCTCTCTCTCTCTCTCTCTCTCTCTCTGGGCACCGAGGATTGAAGATGTGACCTTGCACTTGCCAGGCAAGTGCTTGTGCCACTGAGCTAAACCCTGGCCTCATTTTGGATAATAAGGAGATTTTAAAATATCAGTTCTTACAAAACACAAACATGGGACATCTTTCCATTTATTTGAGCCTTTTAAAACTCCTTTTATAAGTGTTTTATTACTTTCAATGTAGAAATCTCTTATCTCGTTAGCCAAATATATTCTTAAGTATTTTATTTTACTTCTTGTAGATATTTTAAATTATACTTTTTTCTGCTTCTTTTTGAAAATAGTTCGTTGTTAATAAGTACAAATGCTACTGTGTGTTCCTTTGTATCCTATACCTGTACTATACTCATGTATCATTTGAATTGGAAGCTTTAAGGTTTTCTATATGTAATAACATTTTTATTAAGCAACCATGAAATGTTCTCCAGGGTAGAGACTACAGCACAAACCAAGTCTAAGTAAATCTTGAAGGATATAATTCTATTTTAAAGCAATAAACACTATGTTGTATAGTAGATATTGAAAATTTACTCACTGGCATAACTGAAACACTTTGGATAGCAACTCGCCATTCATCGCTGACACACACCTCCGTCCCTTGACAACTACTATGTGTTCTGAATTTGATTATTGTAGACAGTTTGTATTAAGAGGAATAATGTAATATTTGTATTTCAGCAGCTGACTGATTTTACTTAACCATATATCAAACGAAAAAAAAAAAAAACTGCCCTTAGCAAAAGAAATAATGAAATGATAAAGCACTGCAAGAATGGGATAAAGATATGTCTGAAGTATAACTAAAACTCAGTAGCAAAAGAAAAGAAAAACAAAACGTAAAGATCCCTCATTTTTAAAAAAAGACAGAAGCCTCAAGTTACTGTTTCGTCAATTCTGAAAGCTACTTTCAGTGTCATCAGGGCTTTGAATGAAAGCATTGTCAGCCTCTTCTGTACCTGATGCAAGCGTCTGGCTGGCTGGCTGATGTGCAGCTCCCTTGTTACTAGAGGAATCCTTGATATTTCACCTACAGGGGGTTATCAGTGGAATCGTGCACCTCCCATTGAATTGTACGCAGCGCTCAGATGTCTGTAGAACAGTTTTTGTGCCACCAGAGGGCTCTTTGCCTCTGTTCAGGAGATGGCATTATAATGATTAATGGTAACAAAACTGCCAAAATTTTCTATCATTTCTTCATAGCAGGTTTTTCATGTTACTGTGATGACTCCAGGTCTTTTTGAGGAATGGTGCAGGGAAGATTAGTAACAAATTTGAGCTGGAGTTTAATGACTTTCATTTCATGTTCATATCTGCTACTCTGAAATGATGAGAATATTGTGAAACTTTGGGTCCCAGCTCATTTATAACAAACATTAACAAAATATATGATTTCCAGAGTGCCATGTTGTGATGGGAAATAAGTTGATGATGATGCTAGGAGACAGTTCTCAGCTTCAGACTTTAGGTAAGTGCTGGAATGCAGAGAGGCTTCTTGATATATGCGTGTGCTTTTGCACAAGCTTCTGACCTTAGATAATCCTTTCGTATTCTTCTACTTTCAACCTTATAGATAATTGTTGGATTTGGATAGAATATTCAGACACACATCAGATAATGGTATACCTATCAAAGATATTTTTATTTTCCTAATCACAGTATATTGAAAGATAATATTTGCTCTCTGCTGAACATATGCAAAGACCACTTAAAGTTTTTAATGGACACAGTGCTTTCCACTGGATCTCAGTTTGGCCCTGTTCTGTGTTTGTAGGGTCACCAAGATGCTTAAAATTGAGTATTTTCACCAATTTTTTGGGGATGACAATACACTGCAATTTTGGAAAGCATCTGAAATTTTATTGGGGTGTATCATATCTAGAGGTCCATTACAAAGTGAGGGATCCATTTGTCCCCACGACTGAGTCTGACTTGTACCAGATGCCTTGTTTCTTTGTCAGGCAAATTTGTACAGTCACCTTTTCCAACCCTCTTAGGTTAGAAATCCTGTGGACAATGCTAGTATATTTGCTCATTTTCTCAGTAAGTTTCTTCTTCTTAGGTGATGCCATAAGAGTGATTCCCAGAGGTGTGCCAGTGATTCCCTCACACCACATTTCCCTCAATATTTCATCACTTACTTGATCAGTTTTGAACCTATCTAGAGTTTTAGATCTCATATAACACTTAAAGCCTGTATCACGACGGTGACTGCCATTCACTAACAGTCTCTAAGAGTCCCTGCCTTTAGCCAGTGCAGAAGGTATCCATGGACCTGGGTGCCTTCGGAGCTTAGCTGGGTCCATACACAGTGAAGCACCCACATGGGAGTTCAGCAAGGCTATTTCTGCAGGTCTGAAGTCACACAGCTACAAATCTATAAATGAAAACACCAGGGTCAAAGTCAACAATATCACAATCAAGATCAGCAATTGCACTCCAGGATTGTCATGGTTTTGTGGATTTTTTAATAGCTTTAGAAATTGCAGAAGCAATCAGGAGACGCTTAACATTTATAAGTCCTCATAACATCTGCTGTGGTTGTTAGAAATAAGTTTTCTTCCAGTTAATAATGTTATCATATTTTGTATCATTAAAAAAAATCCTATTGCTGTTGTTCTTATTTTAACACTGGACTGCCCTCCACTGAAGGGAAGAGCTAGGTCTTCCTGGTCGGCTTCCAAACTACAAGCTCGCAGGACACCTTCTAAACTCAAATCATCTTTAGACTCCCTAGATGGAAAATCCGTCTCTACAAAAGTTTTGCTCTTTGATGGCAACATCTTCTGTAACCTATGGAATGGACAAATGACCAGAATAGTATGGTTAATAATTAATTAGGCTGCATGCCTTCATTTTCTCAAAATTGCTCCACAGTATTGAAAAAGCTGCTTTGTTAGACCAGATGCCACATAGGGTGACAGGCAGCACAGAGGAGGAACTCACTTTTCCCTTGCAGAACATTCTGTAAACATCCCTGTTGACTTTATTTTGTAAAATATTGTTAATGTGAATAAACAGCAGTAATTTACACTGTTTGGTTAGACACTTACTTATCTCCCAGGATGGACTGTTAGTAAATGAGTACTAAAAATCTTTGTCATTTATTTGAATAAAAGAAACAACATTCTCCGGTTCACTTTACAGAATAAATTTTCAGGCAGTTGGCACAGTTCAGGAGACTGACCAATTTCCCCACCTCACGATACTGGACAGGGGCCACCGGAACATGGATGTGGAATTCTGAAAGACAATCTGTCCTGTATTTGTGTGGAATAAAGAATTAGATATTTTGGAACATCACCATAGACACAAGATCTAGATAAGAGGAAGAAAACTAACCCTTCCTACGTCAATGTTAACGCACAGATCTATGACCATTCCAGTCATTGCCTCTATGACTGATCCGTGGAAGCTACTCTGGTTCTAAAATAACTGTGCAATGTTGAGGGATTATGGTACTTAGATAAATTCAAAGCATGGCATTTGGAAGTTGATGAAGCCTTGTCAGTGACTCAGGTTGGTGGTGTAAGATATGGTGTGTAAGATATGGTGTAAGATAGGGCATGGAAGTTCCTCTGTGTAGGATGTCGCTGAGAAATGACTGGGGTGGAGTCTGTCAAGCCTGCTGGACACTGACAAGTCCTTTAGATAGCGATCTTCTGGTGAAGATATGCATTTCCACTTTCATTTAGGGAAGAAAAGTGATAGAAATAACAAAAAGAGAATCTAGTTATTTATTTATTTATTGAGACAGGGTTTTGTTAGATGTTCAGGCTGGTTTTGAAATTGCTGTGTAGCCCAGGCTGGCCTCAAACTCATGGTGACTCTCTTGCTTCAGCTTCCCAGAGTGCTGGGATTACA